CGGCATCCAATGGATTGATACCTCGATCGCCTCTAGCCAATCGTGTTTCTAAATGAGTTTCCGGTCCGCAAAACTGATAGCCTGGAATATGTAATTCGATAGGAAATACGTTTATCGCACGATTTAATAAACCGCTACATTTTATAGTTTTCGCTGGCATTTGCCACAATCTTTTATTAACGGCGTTGGACCGTCGATATGTGTTTGCTGCCACGGCAAATTATAATGTCGCATGTATCGACGATATTGTCGAACCTCTGAATCAGCTTTTATATGTTCGGGAAGTTTGTCCCACAATTGTTCCACGTAGCTACCAAAGTCTCGCAGTAAAACAATCTTGGAGATAATCTGTAACTCCTCAGTGGTAAGCTCGAGAATATCGCTGTTAACCGATAGAAGAAGAAACATTTTCGAGACTAAGCAGTTTCGATTTTGAAGCGAAAATTGAACCATCGAGTATGCTCGAAATCAAGCATCTGAGAAAAGAGTCAAAGTATGGAACAAAGCAAACACGGCCAAATATATCATTAAACGATTCGCTAATAACTTCTACTCCAAATCAATCAAAATGTAAGCAAATGAAGCAAATTGAACCATCGAGTATGCTCGAAATCAAGCATCTGAGAAAAGAGTCAAAGTATGGAACAAAGCAAACACGGCCAAATATATCATTAAACGATTCGCTAATAACTTCTACTCCAAATCAATCAAAACGTAAGCGAATGGAACAATTATCGAATGCGGTTACTCCGATAAATAACGTACAACAAAGTCAAATATTGCACGAAAGACCGTCTCCATCTGTGGATGAAATTTTCGAAACTATGCCTGAAACGCTTGTGACGTCGGTTCAACATCTATTACAAACGTCCAAGGGTCAAAGTACATTGTACACACACTTGGGCCCACTAGGGCAAAAATATGTGGGAGCTATTTTGAGTCAAGATAAAGATAACAATATGGATTATGTTTACGGTATTAAATTTTGCAACGAAGGAATGATGATCGGTGATAAAATCTTTGATTTGGATAAAGATGACAATACCGGAAGATGATACTGATGCCGCAAACAAACAGTACGTGAAAATAAGTGTCAAACTTTTGGAGGGCAGACAGGAAGAATTTGAGAAAAACTGAGTAAGAGTGGAAACGAGATATCGGAAACGATCGCAAAGATAGTTCGAGACGTAGGAAGATGCTCGAAAAATTTTCAAACCGATAAAGGAAAAGAATGTACAGAAACTCGTGAAGAAACACAGCATTAATCTACGGCGTGCACCGTTGAGAGGGAGGACGTCCAATCTGGCACGATGGATAAAACGCCAGTCGGCGAAGCGAGTGAAGCGGCCGCCGCGATCATATTGATTGCTCACACCCGCCCGCGACGACACCTCGAACACCTTCCCCTGGTCAGGCTTACGCAACAACGTACCCGCGTAAAATTGGGAGCGCTCCCCCCCATCACGCAACCTCCCTTCCTGCGAACCGGAGAGGAAGGCCGCCACGTCCTCGTTGGTCGGAGGACGGCCAATCCGCCTGGCCACAACTCCCCGCAGAGACGCCCACGCGAGCGCCCCGACCGTCGCATCGCCAGCTGTAAGCATCTCATTTAGGAAATAATTGTTTAATTAAGATATTTATTTTTCTAAGAAAAAAAATTTGTTCTATAATTATTAATATTAACCACATAAAATAGCTTTTTAAATAAAATATAACACGTAATTACATATAACATATATGCGCATATAATAATGTCATTTTTAATTATTGTACAGTCAATATTGCATATCTCACACAACACAGTATTAATTAGGATTTACTATCTATTAATTTTATTATTTTTGGTATTAACGTTGCACTTTAATAAAATTGTACTGTTGTAAGCAACAATTACCACACGAAAACAATAGAACTCCGCCATGCAGTAACTTAATGCCATCTATGAAAATCGGGCACGAACTTATGCAATCATCCAATATATATCATTTAATTAATAATTTATTCAGTTATCATTCTTAAAATCTTGCTGTTTACTCGATTGGCTCACCGTCTGGATCGATTATTTGTCCTGTCGACGTCGATGCCGGCATTGTAGTCACACTGTGTATTTGTTGTGGATCCGGCTGTGTTGTAGGCTCTTTATTGTCCTGATTTTGGATCCTTCGGACTTTGAAGGATCCAAAATCCGGACCCTGAGGATGTAGTCTATCCTCTACTTCATTAGAATTTAATTGAATGGAGACTTGACTATCTTTTAACTTCACATAAAAACCAGATTTTATTTTTGTCTGGTTTGGATTTTTATCTTTTCCCTTAGATGGCTGAATTGATCTTGATTTGTCGTTGCTTGATTTGTCTCGAACTTTCGACTTTTTTGCAATGCTTGTTCTATGTTCTAGATCGTCATCAAATCTTCTTTTACTTGGTTCGTTATTCTGTTTTGAGTCGTCCATTGCTTTGTTTTTGCACACACGCCGCGTTGGGCGGCGCCTAATATGGCGACCGTCATAGCGGCCGGTCTCAAGATGACCGCCTTAGATGTTGTTGTGGCCAGCGACGAAGATGGTGGATGTGTCGCTAGCCCCGCTGCAGTGACGGCCGCGTATGAGGGGGACTCTCCTGCTGCTCCGGGTATTGTGGATGCTGTTGTTCCCGCAGATGGTGTTGTTGCAGGTGCGGTGGTGGACGTCGTGGCCATGGAGTGTGACGTGGGTTGCCGCGAGGATGTACGGCTTCGCGACGATGCTCCAGCTGACGCCGATGCAGATGGGGCGGCTGCAGAGGCCCGGGTCTGCACACCTGAAAGCCCACCATTATCAGACAAAGTTCTTTGTGCTCCGCGAGTGCTGCGACACGCAACCTCTGTCCGGGGGACGTGCTCCTTCTCAAAATGTTCCTTGACGCGTCTGTATGAGACCGCGCCTGTCCCTCTAAAATTACAAATTGAGCACACATACGCTATAGTGTCGCCCGGATGAAATTTTCGTAAATGTCTAGCTAAATGCTGCGTGTCGCAGAAATCACCCCTCGACCTAACATTACGCTCCGCACTCCCCAAGCACCGTGCACAACGCACCCGCTCCTCTAGGGGATACGCAAGCACAATTTCAATGGGACTCTGCGCCATAACTATATGAATAAATAAATAAATATAAACAATTAATAAAATTAAGACGCGCAGTGCGTGTGGAACCCCGTGCGCGGAGCCCGAGGGCGGCACGCGGCGGGCTAACCTACACACGATATATGTCGGTCACCCGCGGCAGCATGTCACGGGATGGCGGCACGCGGTGACAGCAACAGGTGTAACGACGCACCGCCACACTGAGACACACCGCACACACGCACCACACCCGCACACCGCACACTCACCACACCACTGCACGTCACCGTGGCGCAGAGCCCCAGA